ACATCCATAGATGAAGGGGTAAAGAAGATCAAGAAAGCAGTTACAAAAGTGGCATCCGAAAAGCTGACATGCATTTAAAGGGATTTCAAATTATTAGAGATCAGAAAAAATGCAAAATAAAATAGTAATGATGTTCTTAATTCCCATTTTCTGCCAAATTTGTCATTTTCCATAGTTCTAATTTTTCCCGACCTTCACACACTGTTAATTATACTGGTTATTTGGGAGAACTCTTGGCACTATGTAGTGAAGTTAATTATATTCATACTAGAGGCCCAGTGCACAAAAATTCGTGCACTCGGGGGGTCCCTCAGCCTGGCCTGTGCCCTCTCACAGCCCGGGACCCCTCGGGGCATGTCCACCTGCCGGCTTAGGCCCACTCCCCAGGGGATCAGGCCTAAGCTGGCATCCTTCTGGCAGCCCAGGAGCCCTTGGGGGATGTCCGACTGACGGCTTAGGCTCCTGGAGGGAGCAGGCCTAAGCCGTCAGTCGGACATCTTTAGTGCTGCTAAGGAGGTGGGAGAGGCTTCTGCCACTGCCACAGAGCTCGCAGCCCTTAGCCTGGCTTGTGGCTGAGTGGAGCTCCCCCTGTTGGAGCTCACTGACCACCAGGGGGCAGCTCCTGCATTGAGCACCTGCCCCCTCGTGGTCAGTACATGTCACAGTGAACGGTCGTTCCCAGTCGTTCCACCGTTAGGGTCAATTTGCATATTACCCTTTTATTATATAGGATTCTATGGCCCAAACATTCTGCTCCTAAGTCTATACACCAAATAAATATTCACACGGTCCACACTACAGTATCATTAGTGTTATTTTAGTGGCAGGGAGTTGGAGGTATTTTGGATTCCAGTCAGTGAATAGAGAGGAAAAATGAGGTAGATACACACCTTAGTAGAACATTACTTAGAACCCACAGATTAGAGGTACACATAGCCACCTGGATGGATCTAAAAGTCTAGTGCTAAGTGAAAAAGATGAGAAACAGGGTGGGAATCAAACCTTTTAAATCTCCCTTTCATACAAAACCAAAAAGAAAAAAAATTTTAAAATATAATAAAACAATAAAAAGGGAAGAAAATTAAAAACACAAACTTTCACAGGATGACAATTTAATCTGCAAACACAATATAACTATACACGTATAATACCAGTGTGGCTCTGTTCTTTAAAAAGGATACAAAGGCAGGCTCAAGCAAAAACAAACCAAACCTCCCATTTCCATAAATTAAAAATATATGCACAAAAACCAATAATACACATTATATAAGAATACAAACAGACGATAAATAAACCCAACCTCATGGAAAGTAGGATTGGGGGCAGTCTAGTGAGGATGGTATGCCATAAATGAAGAAGCAGGACTGACACAACTCTCCTCCGTACCCAATGTTCAGAAAACGAGGAGAACAACAACACAGCAAGTACATAGGAATATCTCTAACCTAAAAATGTGTATGACATTTGTAAAGAAAATTATAAGATTTTACTATAAGATATAAAGATTTAGAGGATCTCAATAAAAGGAGAAAAACCAGTGAGTGGATAGGGAAAGCTATTACTAAAAGGTGTCCATTTTCCCCCAATTGACTAATACATTGAATAGGTCCTCCCTCACTCAAGCCAACATAGTTTTTCATTGAACCTGACAAGCTGGTTTTAAAACTCAAAAAGAAAAAAGCCAAGGCTCTCTTACAGAAAAACAAGTTTTTAAAAGGTGATGTCAGGACATAAAACTTTAGCAATTAAGACAAAATGGTATCTCAGAAATGGACCCACACAATGGAAATTTAAAATATGACATATTAGCATTGAGGATCAGTAGGGAAATAAATTATTTTCAATAAATGGTTGTTAGAAAAAAATTAAACAGAAAAATCCCCCAAGCAGTTGGATCCCCACTTACAACACAGCAGCTCCCCTTCCCCTAATCCCACAAAACACCACCACCACAAATCAATTCCAAAGACCTTTAAATCTATTTAAGAAACACTCAGGAAATGGATAAAGAATTTCTTAAGGAGATAATACACACCAGAAAGATGATGAAAAACTATAATTCATTGGAAGATATTATAAAGTGAAAAGACCACAGCTGCCATTCATGTAATTAACAGAAAAAGGAGTCACCAAAAATATTTTAAAAACTCTCAATAATCAACAAGAAAAACACAATAGGAAAATGGACAAAATTCATAAATGAATATCACAGCTGAAGAAACTCAATTGCCCAATATACATATAAAAGTATGTTCAATTCCTATTAATATTTAGAGAAATTAAAATGCTGATGAGATCTCATTTTATACCTATCAGACCAATAAAAGCTAAAGGACTGAAAATATCAAATGTGGTAGACAAAGCTGGTGATAAATCAATAGAGTCATTTAGGAAAACGGTTTGGTTTAGGTAATTAAGTTAAAGATGTGCTTTTTTTACGACCCAGCAGTTTTCTACTGGAATATATTCTGAGGAATTCTTATGCTCCAGGAGACATGAAACAATGTTTATGGCAGCATTGTTTATAACAACAAAAACCTGGACAGCTCAGCTGCTCATCATCAGGAAGAATGGATGCCTAGTAAATGGTGCCATATCCACAGGAGGAACAACAGTATAGCAGTAAACATAAATGAATGTGGTTACACTTCCTGAAATGGATGAATCCAAGAAACAATGCTGAGTGACAACGCATATGTAGAAGAATATATACGTTAACATTGCAAATGTTCAAAAACAACCAAAATTAAATGAAGTTAAGTATACACATGTATACTTATATAAAGAAATGATAGACACAGAATTCAGGGAACAGAAAGCAAACAAAGAAATACAGAAGGGGCACAGTAATCCTGGTAACTGAGGAGTCCAGTGTGTGATTAAAATCCTGTGTGTGGCAATTACAGAGGCTTTACCTGGCAGGCCTCGCAGGGAGAGGGGCCCTCCCACACCAGTCTTGGTGTACGGCCAGGCCAGGGCATATCGTCTCTGAAGGAGTTGCAGTCAAGGTCTCAGGCCCCCTGGCCAGTGATGCTCGTTCACATACTGACATCCTATCCCAGCACCTCATTCCTACCCAGGTCCTTCATGTGAAGCTGTGGCAGAGGGCTTCTCCAGGCACCTCTGCTGAGCTCTCTTTGCGAGAAGGGGAAACCTTCAAGACATTTTTTCTGACTCTGAGTTAGTACCCAGTACTTTTCCACTCCTAGCCCTTCTCATTTGCTACCCCCTTACCCCCACTAAAAATATCCCCTAAGAACAACAACAAAAAGCCCTTACAAACCTCAGGGTCCATAAAACTGCCAGTGCCTTTTGATCAGAACTCCCTCAGCAGTGAGATGATCCCCACCTCTGTGCTGATCCACCTGACCCTGGACCAGGGTGTGGTTCCAGGGGGAAAATGGAACGGAGGGAGGGGGCTGTTGGGAGGGGGATTTGGCATTTCCTTCGGTTTTAGACTCTTGCTTATAGCATTGCACCAAGTGGTTAAAGGCTTAACTCTTTCAGTTCTGACTGAGCCTGACAGCTGGGCTCTCCCTGAGCCCCTAGCAGTAACCTATTGCTTAAGTTAGGTTGTGTAATAAAGCAACTTTGAACTCCTCCATAAAAACTTGAGCTCTGTGTGGAGGACAAATAAGATGAAACCACAAAGAAGTAACTGTTTAAATTGTAGCATCAGCACCCACGAATACAAAAATGAAGGAAATTATGGGGTGATCACAAAGGTGCTTCATTCTTTTTAAAATTTGGGTGTATGGTAGAAGGTAGGATACAAAGGAATATTTTAAAACACATAATTCATATTATAAATTCTCTCCTCTTTAGAATAAAATCCCTTAAGTAAGACTGATTTTCTTAGATTTGATTTCATATTTGGGGCAAAATGTGATATATTTTAAATATTTTCATCCCAATTCTGTGGATAATGAGTTTCTACAGATACTAATCACTTTAAAATACATGTGCTTATATAATGGCCTTAAACTACTTTCTTCATTCAAACCACTGTATAAAGTTATATTTGATCCTTAAACTACTTTCTCCAAACCTTAGGGAGTTTGTAAATCAGTTTATTTTTTTACCTCAAGCATGCAGGCTCTGTTTCTTTCTCCTTTTGGTTGATGTCCTTGCTGTGCTATTATCCATCTTCTTTACAAAAGCCCCTCCTGTTCCCTGAAGATCATAGTTCCCCATATCCCACATCTAACCCTTCCCTCCCAGACCCCATAATATCATCAAGGGCAAGTACTAAAACTGCACAATGGATCATTCTCTGACATACCATGGTTTTATAAAAGGTGAAATTATATTTTAAACTCATATTGTATGATCATTTGTTACTGTATAAACAGTAAGAAATTCTCAAAGGTGGAAAAGGTATTACAGATTGCCTTGCCCTTATTTTGATAATTCCTTCTATCTATGTAGTGCAATTTGTTATAATTTAGAAAGTGCTTTCACATTAGCTCATTTGATCCTTATAACAACTCCATTAATTAGACAGGGCAGATATAATTATTCCCATCTAACAGATCAGAAGACAGAAATGAAAGAAGAGGTTTCGATGATATCCCTGAGGTCAAACCGCTAGTTAGACCTGAACACAGAAGCTGGTCTTCCTAGTCCACTAGACGCCTCTGAGACAAGGCCCTGCCACGTCCGACTTGTCCTAACGTGTGAGACAACTGCAAAATACGAAACCTAAATAGACAAATCTCTTACTTTTGAGACGCATTTCATTACCTACCCAATTAAACATTACTGACCACAAGGCAAAGTAAATTTAATGAGTTTCTCCCAATTATTGCTTGTATTGCATAGTCTCCATTTTCTTCATGTGTACACCTGGAGCTTTCAGCAAAATCCTTATTTAAAATTGATCAATTCAGAAATATGTTTCTGGTAACACTGTTAAGGCAGGAAGGAAACACCTTTAAAAAGAAAGCTTGTACAAAGCTAGCAGACCTTTTTTTAAAAAAAAAAATTATTAGTTTTCTTACCTCCAAAAAGATGGAATGCTTTCTTTCTGCAGCTCGGTAGGGGCCACTTTGCAGAGCTGGATTTCTGAAAGCTTTGTTTTATTTTCAAATATTCTTTAGTGAAAAATGTTTTTGTGGCATTGTTCAGTTCTAGAATAAAGCAAAAGCAAACTATTTTAGAACATTAATTTGAGTAAAATGGCAAGAACACAAAAAATAATTGTTGTAATATTTTGGTAATATAGTCAGATCTCTTTAAGACAGTGAAGACGAAACTAGAGTCAATTTTCTTTGTAAGTCAAGCCAAATGAAATTCTCCCAAATTCACATTTGAGGCAACTTTGATTATGTCAACATAGGACATGCATCTACTGTGTAGCTTATACGTCAGATACTCTGCCAGACGTGGAGGATGCAGCGGTGGATAAGACATATCTCCTGCCCTCAAGAAGACTGCAGACTAAAAGATGGAAATAGAAGCACATTAAAAAAAAGGGGGGGGGGGAATAATAATGTGTTAGGGATGTAGCAACAGAATAGTTAGAGTAAAATCATGGGAGGCTCAGGAGTGATCATGGTTGGTTGAATCCGCAGATGCAAAACCTGAGGATACCAAATAGGTGATGTCCTTAAAAAATCCTCAGAACAAATGCAGTATCAGCTTTTCTAATATATCCTCTAGGAGAAATCACATGAAAAATTCCCTTTAAAGTGCCAGAAAAATCTTTGCTCACCTTTAGGAAATGCTATGTTTCTTTTCATGAATCATGAGAATCATTTAATTGTGTACATACTTTTAATTTTCCCTAGGCAGCCAGATTATTTAAAACCAGGTAGTTCATATCTAATTGTAGTTATAATGTAGGGCCATATGGCTTATTTATCAGCTCATCCACTCTCACCTGGTCTTTATATTCCATTTCAATTAATACATTCCCTGGTGCTGCTATTTCATTAATTATATCTTTAAAGCACCTCAAATTCTTTTGAGGTAGGGTATAAATAATTAAGTAGGAATAGTCCCTTTATTACTGACAGCTTCTATATTATAGTACACAACCAAATACTTATTCCAGTGGAATATGTATTCTCAATATGATTTATTTTAGAAAAAACTGATTTTGAAAATAAAGGAAATTATAGCTTTGTTGTTTTGATAAATGAATCAAAAGAACACTTGAATCATCATTGCTTTACGATGTTAGGGAAAGCAATTTTAAAATAATTATCAGTGTTAAATGAGATCATGAAAGGCAGAGACAACATCTGTCTAAATCGCTGTGTACATGGTCTAAATGCTTCTTATTAAACCAGGCTTCTAGTAAATGCTTTCTCATACAAATAGCCAGAGATAATACTGAGAAAGGGATGTCATTGGTACCTCCACTTTTTTCACTCCAAAGACCCCAACAAGGGGTCTGGTATTAGAAGAGAACCGCTTTCCCCACATCAATATAAGCCAGAGTGAGGAACCTCCAGTGAGCTCCTGCCCTCTCATGGAACTGCCTTCTTCACTGTCTCCTCCTTTACTTGTTCTTCCCAAGGAAAGAAAGAGCAATCTGCCCATTCTGCACAGCAAAAGAAACATCAACAAAACAACAAGAAAGCCCACTGCGTGGGAGAACATATTTGCCAATGTTATCTCCGAAAAGGGTTTAATCTCCAACGTTTATAGGGAATTCAGACATCTTAACAAAAGGAAGATAAACAGTCCAATCAAAAAATGGGCAAAGGAACTAAACAGACACTTTTCGAAAATGGACATACAAAAGGCCAAGAGACATATGAAAACATGCTCAAAGTCACTAATCTGAGAGATGCAAATCAAAACAATAGTGAGGTACCATCTCACACCCTTCAAAATGGCTATCATTAACAAATGACAAGTGCTGGCGAGGATGTAGAGAAAAAGGAACCCTCGTGCACTGCTGGTGGGAATGCAGACTGGTGCAGCCACTGTGGAAGACAGTATGGAGTTTTCTCAAAAAATTAAAAATGGAACTCCCATTCGACCCAGTAATCCCTCTTCTAGTACTATATCCCAAGGAATCAGAAACACCAATCAGAAAGGATATATGCACCCCTATGTTCATAGTAGCACAATTTACAATAGCTAAGATTTGGAAACAGCCCAAATGCCCATTAGCAGATGAGTGGATTAGAAAACAGTAGTACATCTACACAATGGAATACTATGCTGCTGTAAAAAAGAACTTATCATTTGCAATAGCATGGCGGGACATGGAGAGCATTATGTTAAGCAAAATAAGCCAGTTAGAGAAAGATAAATATCACATGATTTCACTCATTTGCGGAATATAATCAACAGCATAAACTGATGAAGAAAAATAGATCCAGAGACAGAGAAGCATTGAACAGACCGTCAAACCTTAGAGGGAAGATAGGGGAGGCTAGGGGGCTGGTTGGGGGTGGTAAGAGATCAACCAGTGAACTCATATGCACAACCCAAGGACACAGACAATGGGTGTTGAAGGCTTGGGAGCTGGGGAGAAGGCAATGGGGGAAAATGGAGACATATGTAATACTTGAAACAACGAAGAATGTGGGTGTGCGACAGAGAGAGAGAGAGAGAGAGAGAGAGAGAGAGAGAGAGAGAGAGATTGATTTGCGTAGTGAGACTGATGACAGCTTAATGTCCCAATCACATTTCTCTATTGGGTAAAGTCACTATGCTTGACATGCCCTTTTGTCTCCTTTCATCCCCAGGTTGGCCCAAGCTCAGTTCAGGGATTTTGTGCTCCAGTCTACATGCACTGGGCAGACCAAAGAGGTGTAGCTTTATTTTCTCTTCATGATTTGATTACTAAGCCTAAAACCAGGTTTGCTAGTTGTCATGCAGCTGGCTGGGTTAGGCTACTCAAAGCTTATCTTCGAAATCTGATTCCCCCTTGCAGGTGGGTCCTTGGATTTTCTTTTCAGGGAGAAAAATGTACCATGTGTTTTCTCCAATTTACTGTACTTACTGTGATCCCCATCAAATGTGGTTGAGGCAAGAATGTGGAGATAGACATTCTTTCCTTTAACATTTAGCGCACTGTAGTGCAGCACTCAGTAAATATTAGCTCTGCTCACCTCTATCATTCTTCCCTCTTTTCTTGGCAGTTCTCTATGATTCACATTCATTAGCTTTTTCTCTCTTCATTAGTAAGTTTTATTTTATATTATTTATTTATTTTTTATTGTTTAAAGTATTACAAATAGTAGTACATATGTCTCCTTCCCCCCCCCATTGACCTTCCCCTGGCCTCCCCGGCACATGCCCTCACCCGCTTAGTGTCTGTGTCCATTAGTTATGCTTATATGCATGCATACAAATCCTTTGGTTGATCTCTTACCCGCCCCCCACACCCTCCCCTGCCTTCCCACTGAAGTTTGACAATCTGTTTAATACTTCTTTGTTTCTGTATCTATAGTGTGTTTTAAATACTGTTTTATATTCCATCTTTGTATGATAATAAAATAAACAAATCCTTGCTCCAATTTTACTTTCTTCTCATTCAAGAAGAAAGACCTTAAGAACAATAAGAAGGTTGAGATGATCTGCAGTGTGGGGGAAGGCATAATAGTTTTTCTCAGACATTTACAGGTATATCCTCTGATACTCCAGAGAAAATAACAAGGGCCAAAGAATGAGTAATAGTGGAAGGCAGATATGAGGAATGAACAATCAATAGGGCTGCTTCAAGTTTTAATGGAATATCCTTGACACTGGAGAAGTCCACGTAAAGACTAAAAAATAGCTACTTAGGATGATCTAGAAAAGACCTCAGCATAGAGTAAGGGATTAAAGGTGAGAAACTATTCTTACCTATGAACCTATGATTCTAACAGAGTTCTATGAGTTGGGCAAGCACTGCTTTATAAACTGGAGGGAGAGTAACAAATTATGCTACACTGTATATGATTTTCAATAATTTTCTCATGATCTATAATAAAAGCATAATATGCAAATCAACCGAATGACGGAACAGCAGAACGACCGTCCAGATGACCTTCCAAATGACCACGCTATGACACCACTGGTGCCAGGCTTGCCAAGGCGAGTGCAATGTGATTGGTTGGGGGGCCCCGCCATCGCCCCATGATCGCACCACAGAGGGAGGCCCGGTCACCCTCTGTGGGGCAATCGATGGGGGGGCTCCGTGATCGATCGCCCCAAAAAGGGAGGCTCAGGCCACCCGGCCGGTGGCCACAGAGGGAGGCCCAGGACACCTGGCTGGTGGTGCTGTGGCGGGTGGGTGGGGCCCCTGGTGGGGCCCCTCTCTACAGGGCGATCGATCTGGGGGCCCCACGATCAATCGCTCCACAGAGGGAGGCCCAGACCACCTGCCAGCGATGCTGTGGTGGGTGTGCGGGGACGGCCAGCAATCATCCCGCAGAGAGAGGCCCGGGCCAGCCAAGCAATTGCACCCCATACCTGTTGCCTGCAGAGGGAGGTGACCGGTGGTGGGGGTGGGGGGGGGAAGAGCTGCACAGATGGCAAGCAGTGGCAGTGGCGGGGGCGGGGCCAACTGCTGGCAGCAGGGGGAAGGAAAGCCCCGATAGGCCCTGATCGCCAGCCAGGCCTAGGGACCCTACCTGAGGGGTCCCTGATTGTGAGAGGGCGCAGGCTGGGCTGAGGGACAACACCCCCCCCCCGCACAAATTTCGTGCACCGGGCCTCTAGTAGTTTATAAAATACATTAAGATCTGGAACAAAGAGAATACAGAGGCAATCATGTTAATGAAAGGGAACAGTTACCTGTCTGGAAAAAGACTCTGGAAATAATTGTCCGACATAGTGGGCAGGGAGTGCTTGCAGGATTGTCTTTGGCAAGAGTCCGTAAGCAGGGCTCACAGAAGATGTGGTGGCAAGGGTAACACATGTATGGGTTGAAATAAACATCCAGACACACTGCACAGATGTAGCTTTCCTTTTCTTCTACATATTCATTTTCATCATCTGTATTCATGTCATTAGTCAAAGTCTGCAAAACATAAGCAAAACCAATTTTTCTTAGTTCAGCATGAGATTAGTTTCCTTGAAAAAAGAGAGACTGACTTTATATTTTGTTAAAATGAATGAAAATATTTATAAAAGCATATAACATTTGTTTCTGTGACATATTCAAACTGACAGAAATACTACCTTGTAAAGTAAGAAGAAACTGAAAACACATGAAAAAACTCAAAATCTCCATTATTCTTTTTATATAATGCTAAATGCTAACATATACCTAAGCACATTAAGCACACCTGTATCTCTATGTAACAAGCAGTAATTAGTAAGTGTTAAGGTATACCAGACCCAGGATTACAGATTCTCCATTTGTCCTACCCCCACCACCGTATGAAATTTTATGGATGCAGTATAGAGAAGTGGTTCAGAGTTTGGGCTGTAAAGTCAAACATACCTGTGGCTTAAATAAGTTATTGTGACCTTAACCTTATTCAATCACTCTGATTCTCAATTTCCTGCTAAGTATAATGATTGTCTTAGTCTGTGTGGGCTGCTGCTCCTGTCAGACAAGGTTCTGTTATTTAGAGCTAAACTCACAATAACCATCTCCACTTGCCTGCTAACTCCCTACTTTTCACAAGCAACCATCCCTGAGCCAACAGTGGTTAAGACCTTTCATACCTTATCTTGGCTCACACAAAATATAAAAGCACATGTGCACATAAACACGCTGCTACTTTTTCACTTATCAACATATCATGAATACCTGTATCAGTAGATACTGATCTATCTTTTCCTCTTATTTTTAACCTAGGTACACACATATTTTACATAAATAAAATTATCTCATCTCGTCTTTTCATGTTGCAGCTTCTCTCTCCCTCTCCCCCCCCCCCCACCTCTCTCTCTCTCTCTCTCTCTCTCTCTCTCTCTCTCTCTCTCGCTTGCCTTCCCCCTTCCTGTCTTTGTGGACTTGCTCCTCCTCTCAGTCTCCTGGTTCCTCTCTGACGCCTGATCACTCTCCTTCTATTACTCTGCCCTCTGTAAAAATGTTCCACCCCTCTTTTAGGCCCCTACTATTCTTCTGATACCTTCCACAATACTTCTACAGCAAGCACGCTTATTCTCCATATATCCTCCTCTATTACATTTATATGACCCTTGTGGGCATGGATTATGCTTTATTTACTTTTTCTTAACTCCTGGACCTGGAGGGAAGAATAGAAATTGGAATGAAGGGTGAAAGTGGGAAGGAAATTTGAGTTAAGAGGAAAGTATGGGGAAACCATGGAGTGTGTGGATGAGGCACCTGCCAGTCTGACTACATAGGGTTTTTCCAATAAGGAATAGGAAATATTCCTTGGAGAGATAAGGTGGGTCAGTTGCTATTGGTCAGGACTGGGCAAGTGATAGACTATGGGCCAAAGACAGGCTGCTGCCTGTTTCTGTAAGTAAAACTTCACTGGAACACAGCCATGCTCCTTTGCCTCTGTACTGTGGATGGCTGCTTTGTGCTACCATGGCAGAACTAAGCAGTGGTGACAGAGACTATGATCGGCAAAGCCTACAGTAGAGACCATTCCTTGCTAGCCTGAGAAGTTTCATTATGTTCCTGAACACAGCACTGCTAATTTCCCCCTCAATCAATAAATATTTATTGAGTGAGTTAATAAGCATTATTTCAGGCTTTCTTAGTCTGCTCAGGTTGCAATAACAAAATACCACAGACGGGGTAGCTTAAACAGCAAACATTTATTTTTGTCTTCAAGCTGGGAATCCAAGATCAGGGTGCCAAATATGGTGAGTTCTGAGGAAGGCTCCCTTCCCGGCTTGCAGATGGCCACCTTCTCTCTTTGCGCTCACACGGCCTTTCCTCTGTGCATGCAGAGAGATCTTTCTTCCTTTTCTTACAAGGCCAGCAATCCTATGTGACCACCCCCTCCACCCCTCCAATATGACCACATTTAATCTTTATTATCTCCTAAAATCCCTATCTCATTGGGGGTTAGAGCTTCAACAGAAGAATTTTGGGAGGACACAACTCAGTACATAGCACGGATACACAAGGCACTAGGAATACTGCAGTGAACATATCAAGCAAGTAAGGCCTAAGAACGAGTTCTTTAAAAAGAAGGAAAATTATATATATGAATTATATATAGATGAAAAATCTATATATATAAAAGAAAAATCTCTCTCTATATAATATGCTAACTGTCCCTCTGACTGTTTGACAAGTCGCTATGATGCGCACTGACCACCAGGGGGCAGACGCTCCAAGTAGTAGGTTAGCTTGCTGCTGGGGTCTGGCCAATCAGGACTGGGCGAGACAGGCCAGACATGCCCTGGAACCCTCCCACGATTCCCTGGCCCGCTGCTGTGGTCTGGCCGATCAGGACTGGGCGAGACAGGCCAGACATGCCCTGGAACCCTCCCACAATCCCTCCCTGGCCCCGATCCTGCACCAGTGGGGTCCCTCGGCATGGCCTGCGCCCTCTCACAATCCAGGACTCCTTGGGAGATGTCGGAGAGCTGGTTTCGGCCTGATCCCCACAGGCCAGGCGAGTGCACAGGGCCTCTAGAATGTGAGTCTTAAGTGGCAGAAAGGGGCAGTAATTAAGGAATGGGGTACCAAGGACCTGAACCAGAGTGGTTGCCTTGAAAATTTAAGATATTTTGAAACCAAAATCAGCAGCAGCTAATTTTCATTTTGGTAAAGGAAGAGACACTGGTTTTATGATGAAAAATTTGATTTTTTTTCCCCTCTTAAGTCTTAAAATAATCATATCCTTTGAGTTCACATTTTTATTCTTATTTGCATTTCGCAAATTCTTTTGAAGTTTTTAAAAAGGAAGTCAAAGATCTGTGTTTCTGGCCTCCAGGCAGGTGAGAAGTCCCATTGGGCTATGAGCTACCATGGAGAGTGAACACGTCTATAATAAAAGCCATTTTTCAGCCTCCAGTGCCAATCCTTACAGCTGTCAATCAGTTCCAGATCCACTAAATGCAGCTGCTCAAAACCACAGCCTGTCACTCATTAGTAGAGAGTAAAGAGTTCTTTCAGTCTTCTCTCTTCTTTACTAAAGCTCTTGGGCCTCTTCCTGCCTTATTACTTACTTCTTTATTTTCTTTGTATCTTTGTAGCAAAAAAACCTCCTCCATTTATACATTAACCAGTGTGTTTTCTGTTCCAGGACCTTGTTATCCATGACCCTTCTTCTCCACTCAGGCAGAAATAGATAATGTTTGATTGCCTCAAGGAATGGATGGCACAGCAGTATGTAAATAACAAAGAAATTATTAAATTTTGGCATTTGATTTTCAAAAGCCAGGATTCTGAGTATAAATGATAGAATTGAAGAGTGTTTTTTTCCTGCTTCTGGTTTCCCCATCTCCTATGCTCAACATATACTAGATAAAGATTCTTTGGGATTTGGGCAGAAATCTGGAGGATCTCTGAGAGAACAGTATGCAACATATTCACCTAAATCGGAGAATAATGGACAGGATAGAAAATTCCATCAGATTTTGGGTTTTGATAGCAGGGAAGCCCACAACCTCCAATCTCTAGAATATATTCTAAGGAGGAAGCAAGGTCTCACAATTCTCTCATGCTTAGCACAGAAGGAGCAGCAAAAGATAGCACTGACTTAGCATTGAGTGGACAGTTAAAGTACTGTCAATCAATCACTCAATACAAGAAAGAAAGTAAAGTAACCATGCAGACAGCTTAGTAGGTGTCAACCACGCCAAATATTCATTCCCCCTTTCATTATGCTGACCTAGAAACTGAGGACACATACCTAGGGGGAAAGGAGAGGAAAAAGTCCTGTATTGATTAAGATTTAGTTTCTAGTCTCCAACAGAAAGAGGGCTCAAAAAAATTAAATTTACTCAATCATTTATTCATTCACTCAGCAAATATCCATTACATATTTGTTAGGTACAAATAAC